GCATGGGGGCCCCAAGCAGGCCAGGAGCGGGTGCATGGGGGCCCCAAGCAGGCCAGGAGTGGGCCTTGAGGGGGCACCCCCAGGCAGTGCGTGTGCACCCCACCCTCAGACCTGCTACTGACCAGGAGCAGGGTCAAGAGAATAGAAGAGAGTACGAGAGTGTGCTCCCCGCCTTTATTCTAGCCCATCTTCTGGCTGGGGGGAGGCGGGGTTGAAGGTACTGGTTGACCCCATTGCTGGGTTGAGCCCAGCTGGGTCCTGAGACTGAAACTCCTGAAGGGACTTAGAAAGCCCCGGCTTTCTTCGTCCCAACATAGGTGTTAATTGCAAGGTGGGCAGTTAGAAACACACCCGACGTTCTGAAGGGTTACGGCCTCTCAGGAACCCACAGGGGCCGTTCTACCCGGTCCTCTAGGGTCGCCATGCGTTAGCATTCCTTTCTTCTCCCCCTCCCTCCTTCCCTCCTTCCTTTTCTTTAAACTATTTACTGACCAAGTACAGCCAAGGGTTATGCTGAGCAGGCTCCAGCTGGCAAGAAAACTGGGTTCGCTTGGGATCACTGGGTTGTACAAATGCCCTGTCCACTGCCTGTGACTGAAGCTGGGAGCCCTGGTGCTGCAGCTGTTCTGAGTTGGGCTGCGATGCACAGGCTGGGCAGTTCAAAACCACCAGCCACCCCGTAGGAGAAAGACGGGGTTTCCTACTCCTGTGAAGAGTTAGTCTCAGAAGCCCACAGGGGCAGCTCTACCTCGTCCACTAGGATCACCGTGAGTCTCCGTGGCCTCAGTAGCCGTGAGTCTGATTTCCTGGTGGCGTTGCCCTGCCTCCAGGCAGGCACACTGTGAACGTGTGGTGCTCTGGCGCCCTCCGATGGTCCATCTCTAGAATTGCAGGCAGCCGTCCAATGCAGGACCTCGCAGGCCTCCTTTGGCATTTAGCAAGGCCTTCCAAGATAAATTGCAAGCAAGGAGGCAGAAAGGCTGTGTGGATGGCATCTCCTGTGGGCTCGTAACCTCACCCAGTGCTTCCTGGCTGAGTGCACTCAGGGAAGTGACTTCACATCTCTGTGCTGTCTTCCTCACCTGTGAAAGGTGCGTTGTCACTACATCCTGGGTTACTGAGAGTTACATGAA